AGAAATTTGCAAAGAAGTAGTTTGGGCCTTATGTAGTAACTATAGTCAATAACAATGTCACTTATTCTTTGCATGAGTTAGATGGAACAATTATCAAAAATCCAATGGCACGCAAGAGAGTGAAGGTTTTTAAGCAAAGAAATATAAGATTCAACAAAGAAGATAATATTGGCTCTTTATAACAACAAAAAGAAGGAAATCAAGAAGATAAAGGATTCAAGGTAATATTGATAAAATCTAAAAAAAGTGAAGAGGATTAATGGCACATATTAAAAGATATGCAAGATTGGAGGGGGTGGATGTTGTATCATATTTGTACACAATATATAAAAACTACATAAGAACTATGAAATCTATTAGTTCTTAGTTTTTATTTTTTTATTAAATAAAATATTTAATAAAATAATTAGAAATTATAATTAATTAATTAATTAAGTATTAAATTAAAATAAAAATTAATAAATAAATATTTATATATATATATATATATATATATATATTTATATAAATGAGTGAATCCTATTAGCAATAAGTGTTGTAGTTGTTAGAAATTAAAACTAAGTTATACAAGAAAAAAATAGGATTTAAGATAATTAAATTTTAGAATATCTATTTAATATAAAATTTGATAAAAATATTTTTAATATATCTATAAATAGATGTATAAATTTTTATAGAAAAATAAGTTATAATTTGTAAAAGATAGAGATTTAAAAGAATGAAAAGAGGTCAGACAACAAGCTTATAAAGAGAAGAATTGAAGCTTTAGACATCAAGTGGTAACTTGAAGATTGTGGAGGTCGATAGATGATAAGGTGCTGGGATGATACCTAAAAGGTCTTGAATTTGAATTCCCATGGTGGCACATGAGAGAGAAGAAAGAAGAATATTCTTTAAAAATCTTCAATTTATTGAGGATATCTAGAAGGTTGGCTACACAATGCTTGTATTAGAGGATTATGTTGAATAAGAAGGGTACTTGTCACCTATAGGTAGGAGCAAGGAATCTCCTTCAATAATAGTATGATGTGTGACACCCATGCCTTTTATATATTTATCTTCCTGATAAATTAGTATATAGCTTCCTCTAAAAAAGAAGAAGCCACAAGTTGGTGGTGGCTTAAAGTGAAATAGCATCAATTTTCTAGAGTCTTCAACCTTAACTTATTTTCTTTAAAAAAAAAATATACAAATTCAAATAAAAATAAAAAAATTTAGAATTATGATTTAGGATTTAGAATTTAGAAATATAATAGGATTTAGGATTTTGAAAGAGTAGCAACCGTCTTGGGAAAGAAATATAAGCACTTTCTAAAGAAGTTTTGGCTCTCTCATATTTTTTTTGATTTACAAATGTTTAATAAAAAGGAGTTTTTTTTTTTTTTTTTTTTTTTTTATTTAATATATATGAAGGACAAGTGAACTTACAAAGATTCTTATGTATGAAGTATTGTATATGTTTTGAAGTTACAAGATAATAGAGCAATTAGTAACAGTCAGAAGTCTAGTGTTTTCTCAAGCCAAAAATTTCTCTCTACAATAATGGTATGTACTAATCATGAGAGAAATCATGGAAGTTTGAGAGAGCAACCTTTGCCAAAGATTACTAGAGAATTTAGAGATGAATATGTGAGGGATTTTTACTGCACACCGTTGTAAAGCGAGATTGCAATAGGTTAAAAAATGATATGCTCCTGCTAAGTATAAAAGAGAAGATATTATCTACTAGATTCATTGAGTTGATACAAGATTGTGTATTGTCTTTTAAGACTATTGACAAAATGAAGAAGATGGACAAAAATTATGTTAAAAATATTGAGAAAAAATTGAAAAAAAATGAAGAACTAATTAAAAATAAATTTATTTCAAGAATATTTGAAAAAATAGGATTTGCAAATACTATGAGAGAATTAAATTATTTATTGCAAGGTAGATTACAAGAAGAGAATAGAGTTATTAATGTACATTTTAAAGAATTTTATGATAAAATTCATAGATTTATAAAAAAAATTGAATTGCCAAGAGATATGTTTTGAAGTTAAGTATAAATCAGTGGTAAAAAAGATCAAATCAATGGATTTGCTACTACCATCAGATTATAAAGAAACAATGAGTAGAGCATCTGCACAACCAAATTTAAGGGATTCCAGGAAGATAGGGCATGAATTTATGGATGCTACATTAGATGGATTAAATGTTGGATGTAATGTATTTTTGACAAAATATGAAGAAAAGTGTTTTAAAGATATGTTTGGACGACATGGAAAGGCTTTTGCATTTAAGGCATATGAAATTGGATATGTTGATCCAAGTATTGTAGCACTTATGGTTATTTTTACTATTCCTCATGAACCATGGAATTTATAACCAATTTTAGTATAGATAGCATATTTATCTAAGCTAATAGATTTATTTAATGAAAAAATTAAAATATAAAATTTAAAACCATTTATAGCACCTTATTCTAATTGATGATTTATACTGCCAAAGAAAAATGGAACAATGAAATTCATATAAGATATGCAAACTGTGAATAAAGTGACTATTAGAAATATAGATTCAAGTCCAATTATGTATAAATTTATAGAGGCATTTGTTGGAAGAGCTATCTATTCAATCGGTGCTCTTTATTTAGGTTATAATCAATTTCAATAAGCAATTCAAAACATGGATTTGACAACTATAAAGACACCATTAGGATTGGTCAAAATGTGTACATTGCCACAAGGGGCTACAAATTCTGTAGCTTATAGGATGAATGGAATACATAAGGTATTAAGAAAATTTATTCCAAATATAATAGTCTTTTTTTGATATTCTAACCAAACTCCAATTAAATTGTAATAATATTAATCAAATTTTAATCAAATTTTTTTAAAAATCTCAAAATTTTTTTAAAAAAATATACAAAAATCATAAATTAATCTTAAAGAAATACATATATAATAAAAAAAATCTAAAAAAATACCAAAGACATCTTAAAGAAATATTAAAAATAAAAACTACAAATTAATATTAATCAAATTTTAACATAATCTTCAATAAATCTTAATGAAATCTCAAATCAATTCTAATGAAATCTTAATTAAATCTTAAAATAATCATCAATAAACTTTAATGAAATCCTAAATAAATCTTAGTAAAATCTTAATAAAATCCTAAATAAATCCTAAATCCTAATTAAATCTTAAATCAACCTTTATCAAATCTTGAACAAATCCTAATAAAATTTTAATGAAATCTTAAATCAATCCTAACCAAAAATTAACCAAATTTTAATGTAATTGAATAAGATTTAAAAACCTCAATAAATATCAATTGATTTATTGATCTTAACTAAAATTTCACTCATATCTTATTTTGTAAGTAATTAAAAAATACACAAAATTTGAAGAAAATTACTTCACCAATTTGAAAAAAAAAAAAAAAAAAAAAAAAAAAAAAAAAAATCCTCAACTACTCAAATGTTAGTCGCCTTCTTTCTCCAATCCAAATGTTGATATTCCAATAGCAATTTCTACTTGTTAAACTAGTAATTTTTAAAAAAAATTAGTTGATGTATAAAATTCTAAATTCAAATCACTTTCACTAATTTTTACTTCAATTAAGCTAGTAGATATTGTAAGATTGCAAAAACCATTACTAATCCTAAATTTTAATTATCCAATACCATAATCCAAAAACTCTCATAACCATCAATCTTGCAAAGAAAAATTGAAATTACCTAATTATGAAAGTAATAAGGTAATTAGAGTTTGTGTATGGTTGAAGTTACTAAGAAGAGTATTTTTGAGCACTTTGTATTGGCTTTAAGTACTTTTGAATTGAAATTCAAATTACATTCTTTGTATAAGAGTGAAACCTGTTAGGATATCTTGAATACTTGTAAAACAAAACTTCACCTTCCACAATCAAGTGTCGGGTGCATTTTCAAATAAGACAACCTATAATATAAAAGTATACATATAGAAAACTTATCTTACAAGTTAGACACATGTTGGAGGTCTTATAGAACGTTGCTATGTAGCTCCTAGTTAAATAATATATATAAAGGCAAGAATGAGGCTTTTTTTTATTCTTGTCAACTTCTTTCTTGCTTTTAGTCTAGTTTCAAGAGTCTCTAGTTTTCTTATCTTTTGGCAATAGCCATTATAGTTTCTTCTTGAATATATGTATTTACTTATTTCTTTTTTTTCATATTTCTTTAAGAAATATTTCACTTATTTATTTACATTCTTTGAATTTTTATCCTTGATATCAACTTACAAAAGTAATATTTTAACTTTTCTTTATAAATCATTTTTTTGAAATAAGAGAAATTAATTTTTATATAAAAATTTAGAAAAAAAAATTATTAACAACTTTTAATAATGATCAACTTCTTATATTACCAAATCTCCAAGTTATCTAAGAGGTAGAGAAGAGATAACTAAAAAAATTTTAATTTTTTTATAACCTTATTGAAATCATTGACATTATTATTAAGAAAAAGGAAAAAATATATGTATATATATATATATATATATATATGATATTTAAAATTATTATCTTGTGTATTAAAAAAATCTTAATTTATGTTTTAAAGAGGGACTTAAATTGAGTACAATTTTAATGGAATGCACCAATGAGAAAACTGAATCAATATACAAAGTAGCAATTAGTGAAAGAAAGAAGGACAAATAAAATTCTTGTAACAATTTAAATACAAGAATTAGAGGTAAGTTGTCTCCTTGTGCAACACACCACCATCATTTGTTTAATTGGCTTGTACCTTCAGGGCACTAAAGACTTGAAAAACATCAATAATTGCCATAAAAAAGTATACTTCTATTTGAATAGATTTTTCTATATGGTATTTACAGGACAAACTATCTAGTCAAAAATCTGTCGAACATCTCAGAACTAGTGATATTAATACTTTTTCACTCTCCTGGTTACTTCCTCTTCTAAACGTTCAAACGTGGTTGCACAAATAGATGCATAATTCACAGGCCGGAAAATAGTAACAAAGTGACGTTAAATTGATAAGTTATTTACCACACGAGAACCTTTTAGTAGTGCAAAGAAATGATAAAACATTTTTTACAAAAATGTTACGAAAAACTGTGTATGGGACTAAATCTTGACACAACGTAATTTTTATGTATAGCTACAGAAAAACGGGTATACAGACCAAAAAATGCCAAGACTTCAGCATCTACAGTAAACCCCTTCACACAAGATTGCGTAATCTCTTTCTTATAGACTCAATGTTTTGAGACAAATTCCTCGCTAAACTCCCACAACTTCCTTGCCAGCTCCGGATCTCTGGCAGGTTCCGACACGTAAGGATTTAAGTTGCAGTCTTTGAAATACATTCCAGAGATCCCATTCACCTTTGGGCTTGTGGCAACGTAACAGGTAGTTGCAGCTCCCTATTATCCATGTAAACGATGTAATTATATTAGCCAAACCCAGCCCATCGTTAAAGTAAAAGAAATAATCAGACCCTAGCAAGGGCGAAACAAGATCAAGTCAATCCTCTAACGAAGTCGCAACACACCTCAGACTTGTTCAATGTGCAATAAACATGTGCCCCTTGCTAATTCCAAAACTCGGAATGGTGTAGCCTAGTTTCTTACCTGAGGCACTGTTTTTAATAAGAATTTTACGAGGGATAAAGCTATCCCTGCAGAGAGAATCAAACAAAGATGAAAGTCAAGTGAGGCTGTGGCCAGTGTCAATGTCATGTAATGACACTAATTTGTCGATCAGTTAAGCAACAAAAATTAAATATTTTGACCTTAGTTTAGGTAGAACATTAGACATATCAAACACATGTAGGGAAATGACGAGCTGCTTGAGGATGTATTTACTGGGACTGGAAAATAAGTGATTCAAGGCCTACAGATGAGGTTTTCCTTAACAATAGTCAACATTAAAATGGTTGAAAGCTTTACCACTAAAAAAGACGCTTTGTCCCTTGCCGAAATTCGTATCCATAACGCCAGGATGTACTGAATTAGCGGTCACGTTAGCTCCTTCTTCCTGTACAAGCACAATACAGATATAAAACTACGAGGACTCTCTTTCTGTTAAGAAACTCGTTTCGTTTTACATTTCCTTAATTTCACATTGAGAAGAAAAGCATGTTTCCTCATACCATCAATCCTTGGTGCTTTCCAAAAAAGGGTTTTGGAATCTTGGAACAGGACATACCTTTAATCGCTTTGCGAGCTCCCTCGCATGCAGAATATTCGCCAACTTAGACTGCCCGTAAGCACACTTTCCATCATAGCTGCACTCAATTCAATAGTGTTCAGATTTCGAATATCCAAAGTGATTAGATCCTCTAATTTGGAGACATATTAAGTAATAATTTAAAATTTTAGTTCAATTAAGAAAAAGAGCAATAAAATTACCGAAGTTTTTGAAGACTAGAATTCAAGAAGAATCCCGAGGCAAAGGAATTAAGTGTTGTCCACAGCAGAAACATCTAGACATACAGCGTCTTAAAAAGAGTTGAGGGGCAAAATTAGCTCTTCTATACCTTGACTTCTTCGTTAAAAAACCACGATCCAAAATGAAAAAACAGAGTCGCACTAAAACATCATATTAAAATACCTTGTTGAATCGTTAAGCTTGTCAAGCACAAGTCCCCCCTTGTAGCCATACTTGTGAGCCTCGGATGAAACATTTACAATACGACCTTCTGCTCCAGTCTCCTTAGCAGTAGTTTTCAGTTTGTCCAGTAGAAGTTTCGTCAGTAGGAACGTGCCTGCAACCATGGACACAACAACAATTTTTCAGTTCCCATCTAAAATCAACCATGAACTATTCGTACTTACTTGATTGACATCCTTGCCTTTCTATGGTCTCCATGGTGAAAATTCTCAGTAACCGAAGTGTCCAGAGCAAAATGGAAGACTTAAGAACAAGGCGTAATAGGAAAACCTCTGTGCACTAACCGATATGGTTCGTGGCAAAAACCTTCTCCAAACCGTCTTCTGACTTCTCAAAAGTTCTTGACATGAAACCTGCATTGTTTCTGTAAAGATTCGCTTCAACGAAAGCATGTATTAGATTTCATTCAAATATAGGCTCACAACATTAGAAAAATATGGTTCGAGTATGATGATTTTACCATTGTATTATATTTACTACACATCAATTTGATTTCACATGACCGTGTGCATTCTTCTGTCAATAAATCAACATTACACAAACAAGATGGCATGGAATCCCGTACATGAGAACATTGAGAGGAAGCTTTCGATTGTTGAACTCATCAGAAAATTGCCGGACTGATGCTAAAGAAGAAAGGTCAAGCTTCATAAGCTCCACCCGTGCTTTAGGGACGTCCCGTGTAATCTCTGACTTTACTTCCTCACCAGTTTTCAAGTTTCGAATGGCCATAATTACGTGAGCCCCTTTCATGGCTAACACTCTTGCTGATTCTTTCCCAATCCCTGATGTTGCTCCTGTAGAAACAGATTTCATTTGGTGAATGAGATAACTAAAGAGGTGAGTTAGCTCGCACTCCACCAATTTCAGAGCACTGGCTGCTGAAATTGTTTTACTTCCGTCGAGTATTGTCATTATTAAGTCCAGACACATTTGATATATATGAAACCTAACTATCTCAAACTTGAAGCAACTAAAAACATTTCCAGAGGTTCACCTCGAAAGGCCACTCAGCTTGCCGTTATCATCCTAACCTAACCTAACCTTAAATCCTCAATCTGTCTGCAAACACATTACCAGTACATATTTTTAGCGTGGGATGAGTACCGCTTATGATGATGGTCTTGGAGGTGAGGTCAACATCAGCAGTAACATCTTCAGCGGTAGATTTCGATCCAAAGCCGCTTGGGCCAGCAGCTCCTGAGAGGTATTTCCAAATGCTACCCATTGCGTTCAGCTGTTTTCGTCCTGTTTCCTGCCGAATATCAACATGGTCGATCAACATTAAGGAGAATCACTGGATCAGTAGATCAGTAAAAATGCGAAACCAAAACAGATTTCAAAAATCAATGCAAAATAAGAAAACAATTCAATAATGCTAAGCCTTTGAGAGAGTTTCCACTAAGAACTAGACGTAATTTGTTGGATCAAATGCTTCATGCTGACCAGCGTCTTACTTCAGAACCATTCCACTTACTAACTGTCCAGGCAACTTGGTTTATCCTCGGAAACGGACAAAGAATATGACTGGTTCTCTTTTGGCAAAAGAAAACCACGTTGCCAAAATATTTTGAAGGGTGAATGGGGTAATTCATGTCTTCTGTTCAGCAACAGATTTATCTAAGATTATATATTATATAAGTATATATCGGCACTGATCATTCCCATTGAAGCAAAGGCATGATATCGACACCATTGAGCACCATGAAACCAATATTGCGATAACTTCAAGATTAAGACACATCACTATCACTTGTCACTCATACCAGATCTCAAAAAACAGTCTCTCATGGGTACAATCAGTTTCTTACAGAGGAATTTTTAGCAGGAGAAGTTCATACCAACTTCGTGTTCATGTCCTCAAGCTTGCTGTAAATGAGATTGGATGAAAGAACTATCCTCAACAGTTGTATTTACTTCGAAGTGAGAATATTCCGACGTCTAAAACAAAACCATTCGACAGAATTCTCTGTTCAATTCTACAAAATTCTGTAGAAACAAAGAAGAAAATACTGTAGGCGCGAGACCTTAGAATCGTCTCGCACTACGACTGTACCAATTTTTTCTAACAATGAAAAACACAACCAAACAAATAACTACTCGCCATGATTCTAGTCAGTTCAGGTCATCATAGCTACTCCTGTTACTGATTGCGTGTACTGATTGTGTGTTCTCGATGACAGGTAAGGTGGTCATCCATGCTAGATACATGGAAATCCAATTCCGTAATTCAAGATTCTCTGTAATAGAGACATTGCTCAATGTCAAATCTTGCGATTTGGTGAGCAAGGAGAACCCGAAGACTCAACAACTAGGCGGTCTGTTAGCCAAGGAGACTAAATCAGTGCTGGAAGGCAATAATTCAACAAGCATGCCCATCCTAGCTCCTGCTATCACATTTGGAACCAGCTAAATCCCCCAGAACATTGCCAAACACTTCCGCTAAACTCATTCCAACCTTATCCTCCAACTCACACATAACACCAAACGCTACAGCTAAATCCAATCAAAAGAAACAAGGATAAATCAGCACTACACTAACCATATCAACATTGCCAGCACAACACTTGCTCCACTCAAAAGCTTAGCGCCACTATCTGACGACACAACCCCACTGAACGACTGAATCCAAGGAAATGTCAAGATAAACACCATAGAGAAAACGAAGTAGTACCAAGAAAAAAAAAAAAATTACAGGTATACTCACGTAGTCACTGCCGCAGATTGTAAGACAGCGGCGACCGATTCACCTCGAAACGCAACAAATATCCGCAATTGCAAACGAACCCCGAAATGCACCAACTTGAACAAGCCAGCGAGGAAGTAGAGCAGTAGAGAACAGTGCAGGAGCAGAGAGTGACAAGATCACATAGAGTTTTTCATGAAATAAAACTGCGCCATGGACAGCGAAGATAACTGTAGGCGTGGAAAGCATGAGGGGGTACTAGTTGGTGGTTGGTTTGAGCGCCACCTATAATCCCTTTGTGCTTTTCTCATTTCCCTTCCGCCAGCCGCTTTTTCTCCACAAAGTCTCCAGGTCCCACTCTCCACTCATCCTCCACCGTTACCTTGCTCTCGAATCCAAGGGAGCCTCTTGCGAGCTCGAGGTGCCTGATGGTGAAGTTGGTTTCTGGGTTTGACAGGTTTACCAACTTTGTCACCTCGTTGCATGCAGTACGTGAATAGATTCCTGTGCAGGTAGAAGCAACCTGTCTATTAACTGATGCATTGGCAAACAGATTCATGTGCTTGAATGGACACCGAAAGTTTCCTGCTCCAAATCTTTGTCTTTCACATTCATTTCAACATGACCTAGAGGATAACGCAGAAAAACAAGCGTGAGAATATTCACTCAATCAGTGTTGGATGCCAGGTTCTAGCATTAGAAAGCCTGTCGAAGGGTACTGTTTTTTTCCAGGCTGTGGCAGGCTCGGAAGCGACGGTGTTGCACAACAGTTGGAATCACATGCCAGTGGAAATCGCTTTTATTTATCTATTGAGCTCAACGGTGATTATCAAGGTGCTGAAGAAATGAATCTCCAGTTGGGTACGTTGACACCATGTCAATCACTCTTCTACGGTGAAACTCAGACATTAAGATCTTAGTGCAGGAAACGTTACACTACCCCCCCCTCCCCCCCCCCCCCCCCCCCTCTCTCTCTCTTCTAGTTTGTATCCCAGACTTGACTGCTCTGCGTTTGTGCAGCAAATGGCTACAACTTCACTGTGTTTTGAAGCAGCTTTGCTGCAACTTTGATGCGAGTGCATGCAGATGGATAGAGCTTGATACTGCACGTCCCTCTCTCAATGTTGCATCTTTGTGGGGAGCGGGGTTGCATTGGCATGTTTCCATGGATGTTTCGCACACAATTGTTTTGGTATAATCCTCCTGCAAGTGCATTGCGGTCTCTGTGATGACACAATACATTGATTAAACTGGCCTTCCTAAATGCACTCTGTGTAATGCGGTTCACTGAGAGGGGTATGGATTAACTGGTTTGTGAAGAGTGTGAGAAGTTTCAGGTAGATTTGGAAGCATTTACTACTTTGAACCTCATTCTTGCATGAGCGGCCTCTTTCACTTAGGAGACATGTTAGATTTGTGTGTACTCCAGGTGATTTCATGCAAATTCAAAATCAAGTATATATGAATTTGTAGTTGACAAAAAAATTTATTTATATCCTACCTTAATGTCTTCGTAGTTTGTCCTTCACTCTAGTCTCTCTCTAATTTATAATGTAATAAAGGGTGTTGTTAATCTCACCACAGTCACCACAATCTACCATTCATTACATGTCATCATAGTTTTTGTAATTGCCACCACAGATTGCTATCCAATTGATATATTTCTTTGATTTTTTTGAATTTCTATTTTATTTCATTTTAATTTATTAAAATTATATAGCAAATAAATTTAGTTTTAATAAAAATATTTGTCAAAAAGTTAATAAAAATAAGTTGTATTGGCAATAGAAAAACCATATATATATATAATATTTTCCATTAATAAAGTTCTATTTCTTATATATTTGAAGAATTTTCATACAATAAATAAAAATAAAATTTATAAGAACAAAGCTCAAAGAATTCAAAGTAATTAAATTTTATAAATATATGTGCATCTATATAAGATATTGTTATTGCCACTACAACCCACATAATCTTGCATGAATCTATTTGCTAGCTACCAATAATATGGGCTACAATTAATGCCTAATCTAAAGGTGATTGCAAGAGGTGTTGAATGTTTTATCATAATCACATAGCCTGTAATCAAGCATGCCGTTTGCTCATAGACAATCAAAGGTACTAGCAGTGTTAAGCTCCATGATGAAGAAGAAAAAAAAAAAAAAAAAAAAAAAAAACGTCATGCAAGAATTGTGAAGAGAGCAATGGACTCATTACATACGAGAAAAACATATTAGGGGAGTATATGAGAAGAGAGTTTTAGAGAAGTGCACAAGATTGTGAAGGACCATGCATCAAGTGGATGGCAAATTGTGGTGTCAACAGAAAAAATTGTAGTGGCATTAATAATACTATATATACATATATATATATATATATATATATATATAATTTTTTAAATAAATTAAAAAAATTAAATAATATGGTACAAATCAAGTATAAAAATGGACATATTGACAATATTTTATTTTGCTATATATGTAGATAGAATGACTTCTCTTGGACTCTAAAAAACTAATCTCTAGACAATTTTCAAATGATTGAATATTGAAATAGACAATTTTCAAATGATTGAATATACATTTGCATATGTATATGCAAATGATTGTATATCCAAAAAATAAAGGGAATAATAATATAATGGAGTCAAATACAACACTGTAAAACACAATTACTGTAACTTTGCAGACTGTCTAAGAATAAGAAACCAGCAGAGGAGGGTAGTTTGAGTTTGAAACTACGGGGGGAAAACACCACCAAGACAACAATAAAAAGATATCTTTAGACCAAACAAAGTGGATCCAAAACAACTACTAGAATGTAGCTTTATGTCATCCCCTTACAAAGCATATTCAAACGAGGAAAACAACATCGAAGAATGGCAAAGGGTGCAAAACACAACAAAGGCAAGACAAGCAAAAAGGAACCTTGAGGTAGGAAGGAATAAAAAAGTAAAAGAGGGAGGAAAGTAAAAGGGGGAGCTATGGTCCCAAAGCAACAACACACACAGGGAGTGCCTGCACAATCCCAAACTCGGGACAAGGCAAGTTAGTGGTGGATAACCCTTGGCTGGAGTTTCCTAGTGCATTCTCAAAGCAAAGGAAAGGGAGACCGGACGGGGGGGGCCGGGAGGGGGACGGGCCAATGGAAATGCCCCGCCAGGGATTCTGTTTGCTTGGTGGCTCAAGACCCCAACGCAGCAGCAGCAAACACAGCCCCACGACCCAGCCCGCCGCAAAATCCGTCGGCGAAGCCGGAACGAACGAACGAGGACGGAGGGTGAGGACGAAAGTCCGGCGTGTACCTCGTCAATGTGCCGCCGACGGACGGACGAACTCCAGGACGGTGACGGAGCAAAACGCCAATGGGGCACCGAGAAGATGCTGCCAATGTGGACACGGGGTAGGTCTTCGTCGTCTTCGTCGTCGTCTTGGTCTTCGTCGTTCTCCCCTCATCCTTCTGTTGTTGCGTAGCGCGACGGGGATCTAGTTTTAGTTGCCCTGCCTACTGCTTTGCAAGTGTGTGACTTACTGCAACCCCCCCACCCGCTGTTGCAGTAGCAGCAGCTACTGCTTTTGGGGTTCCCTCTGATTAAAAGGATTGCAGAGGATTTTTACGGATTTGGCCTCGGAACACTTTCGGAGAACCTTGGAATAGCGGAGGAGGCAAGTTGCGGTTGCGATGCTCTAGTCGACAACGGGCGCAAAGGCGAGAGGCGGTATCTGGGGGGAAATACTTGCAGAGGATCAGTGGTGGTTTTATTCTCGTGCTAATTGGTTGCGGATGTGGTGTGTGGTGGTCGGAGCGGTGACTAGAAACGCAACTCGCTGACTACGCATTTTAAGGGGACTCATTGCTGATTATTGTGTGGGTGGATATTTGATTGTCTGGAAGTCCGTTTGAATGCTGAGATTACTACTTGATGATTAAGGGCACATCGTTCACACTGGTTTATGGTGGCGCTGTCCTGTGAATCCCTTGAGTCAGTTCATGGATCATATTTAGAGCAGGGAGGGAGGAAATCGAGGAGAGTTAGTGGGTGGGGCCAGAAAAATTGGTTCAAATCGATTGGATGCTGTGGGGGAGCAACTTGGCCGAGTCGGTTGCTGCAGGTGTTCAACGCTTGGGACTCTTTCTTATTCTTGTTCTTTTTTCGTTTTTATTACTTTTATTTCATATATATATATATATATATATAAATATAAACACAGATACACACAAACACACACACACACACACACGCACATATATATATATATATATATATATATACATATACATTAGAGAGATTCTGCTGTGACTTTCCTTTTGTAGAAATGTTGGGAGCTCGATGTGTAGCGCCGAAGTGCTGTGTAGGTTTGCGTGAATCGGTTATGGTGGATGGGCTTTCCGGCAGGTTATAAATGACCAGAGCTACTTTTTTAGTGAAAGATTTTGAGTTTGGATTTGAGTGACAGAGTTGGGGTGCTGGGTTTATGAGATTGCAAGTGAATGGTGTCACTGGGCACGGCTTCACGAGAGAAAGAAGCGGAGTAGTGGTAGTTGTTGGAAGGATTTTGTGTGAGATTTTGAGGAGAGAAGAGGTTTTTGTGAGCTCTCTGTTCCTTGGGTTGTTTAGTGTTGGGGTGAGTTTATCATGGCGACTAATCAACCGCCGAATCCATTTTCTCTTATCCGGGCCGCTTCCATCACGCCCGCTGCGCAGAGTAGCTTGCAATCGCTTCTCAGTCAAAGCTCTCAGGATTTGGCGGATTTCGTGTGGCCGGAGGAGGAACGACCGACAATCCCTCACAATGATTATCGACGCGATCGGGAGCTGCCTGTCATCGACTTGTCCGGCTTGCAAGGTGGATCTGAGGCGACGAAGTTGAGGCTAGCGAAGCGGATCGCGGCTGCCTGCTCAGAATGGGGGTTTTTCCAGCTCATAAACCATGGCATCCCCGTTGCTGAGCTTGACGAGGTGCAGATGCAAACCCGACGCTTCTTTGAGCTCCCTATGGAGCACAAGCAGCGCGCCATGACTCTTGAGACTGCCAACGCGAGCAATGTATATGGCTACGGGTTGAACACCACTGGGTACAAGTACGCGGGTCGCCCCTGGATCGAGCGGTTTCAGTGCAGCTGGTCTCCCAAGTCCAATCTCCGAGAGCAGGCGCAGCGATTACTAGAAGGCCAAGCATTCCAAGATTTCCAAACAGCTGTGGAATCCTTCTGCTCAGGGGCAGAGAAGTTGGCTAAGCTTACCCTGGAGTTGTGCGCTCTGGGGTTAGGCCTGTCTCCTGATACTTTTAGCAAGCATATGAATCCTAGTCATTCCATTGCGCGTTTGAATTATTACCCTGCTTGTCCAACCCCAGATCTCACCCTCGGTTTGGGCGCGCACACCGATCCCTACACCCTCACTCTGTTGCACCAGTGTCAAGTGGGGGGATTGCAAGTGTGCAAGGACGGCAAATGGATTACTGTCAAGCCTCGACGAGGCGCGTATGTCGTCAATGTCGGAGACAATCTCCAGGCGTGGACCAATGGACGATTCAAGAGCGTGGAGCACAGAGCTGTCCTGAACGACAAAGTCCCGCGTCTTTCTCTAGTATTTTTCTACGCTCCTCCTTTAGAGACCGTGATAACTGCTCCTGATGCGATAATCCAAGCAGATGGGAAGCGACGCTACAAAAGCTTCACGTGGGCGGAGTACCTGAATTTCTTGAAGAGGCAAAATTTTGAGAAAGGCAAGAATGAGCGATGGGTTGAAGGCTTTGCACTCTGAGCCTGATAGCTCGCCCCCGTTAATTTGAATAGGGGACGACTATCCTTGTACATTTCTTCACTAGCTACTACCACGTTTAGGGCGACGTTCTGCCCCGCTTATTTTCTGACCAGCTTGAGCGTGCCAAAGTGCGCTCAGCGGCGAGTTTGTCCCATGCACTGAAACCCTCCTGCATGTAACATGGAGGCCCCGGGAGCAATTCTGACGATTTTGAAGTGAACTGAACCATGAGCCTGTTTACAATATGCACAAATTATTTTTTTGGGTCAGAAAGGGTTCCATCAAACTATCTCTTTTCTCTCCCATCAAATACAGCTTTTCTACTTCTCTTTCTTTTTCTCTTTCTTTTTCGTTTCCATTCTCCATCAATCAGTCTTCCAAAACTCGGTCGTGGTTGTAAAGGTCTCATCTCTGTTTCATCTTCTGTGTTTGTCTAGCTATTTGGTCTTCACACCCACAGTGACCACTGCGCTTTTTATTTTTGTTTAATTTTTTAATTTTTTGTCTTCATCTATTTTTTATTTCGTGTTATGATAGATTAACGCGAGGATTTCTGTGCTATCCACGCTTTCTTAGCTCAGATACTAGCGTAGGCCAGAGCGGTGGATCTTAGGATTCATCTTAGTTCCAGGCTACTGTGTCGAATTTCCTATCTGGACTGCGCCTCCATCGATTTATGTTACTCTTGCAGGTTTTAGGAGGATGAGTATTTACAAGGAATTAGAATACGGTAACCATGGTTTAGAATGTTAGTTTTGAATGATTTCGAAATCATGAACCAACAGTTTTTGTTTGAAATACTGTAGCAATTTGTGAAAGCCGTAGGAGCAATCTCTGGATGTCTGTGCATCCGCTAGATTCGCTTCAAGACATTACCTGTTCGCTTGGAAGCTTCTATGTGCTGAGCACGGTTCCTGAAACGAATAAACAAAAAATCTACATAGGTTACATGCAGCTTAAGAGTATCAATTATCAGATAGTACTTTCATTACCTCAGGCTGTTTGTGTGCAGGTACAGATCAGGTTCCCTCTGTCAATAAAATTGAGTGTTTCTTTCAGAATACTAGAACGATTGATTGATTCCGGCCCATCAGCGACGGAATTTTATTGTTATTGGTGGTGAGTCGCATTGGTGCTGCCAATAAGTGTTGATTACCACATCGATTTCTGCGGTTTGCACTTGCTGTTGAGGTCGACATCCTCCTTCGTCATCGAATTTGAAGAGTCTACCTTTTATCGTATATTTTCTATTACATTCCGTGGCAGCTGAGGACTGTTCAGTACATACCATCACTCTGCTTTGACTGGAAAGCTGTAAAAATAAGATCCTTGTAACATTTCGTCTTTATTGTACCCAGCTCCGTGTGATTCCAACTTTGGAAATGAAACGGCTCAGTTTTGGCATCTGTCCATCTGTCGCTCTTCTGGAAAATTGTACAATTGGAAAGTTTGAAATCAGTGTATTTCGGTGATGCGCTTTTTCGTCAGTGAATACTTCCAACTCGCCACTACACGCCAACAATCTTATCTGCACAACACGATACATCTCAGTTCTAGCGAAATGCAATTTAGTTAGAAAGCTACAAAAAACCTGCATGTGCTTCTGTCTGAATCTGTTTGTGTAAACTACCGTGATCTGAAGAGCTAAATGCACACTCAGAAAGCAAGCTAGGAAACACTTCTCACTCTTGGTGTGTTCTAGCACACACAAGAACCGGCGCCATGACACTACTGTTCAGCGGCATGATTCTTGCGAACTCTGTGGGATAATCAAAGATCCACCCTATTTTTAGTCAAATTTCGGAGATGGCGCATGCACTCGGACGCCACAAGCCAACGATCAGTCGATGCCCTTTGTTCGAAGTGTGAGCAGCCGTGATTGGAATCAACAATGCCGGCCAGTGATTGCCCACCCATTGCTTTCAAGTCTACCACCAATCCGTCTACACCATGATGTTCCTCCCCGAACTTCAATCCACCAATCACGACACATCCACCCTGATCTTTCTCCTCCAGTGGGGGATCCCATGGCTACTACACTGCAATGGTACTGTCTTTTCATGGCAAGTGTGGCGAACTCCAAGCGTGAACTGCAGTTAGGCCCCAAAACAAATGCGGGTGGGTGAGCGTCGCGTGTCTGCAGTGGGAGATTCCCTCGCCGTCCCCAAATGTGAAATGGGCAGATGCAGGACAGTGTGCGAATCGTCTAAAAAACGTTATCCACTTCCACGCCCAGCCCTTCGATGCTTCCTTTGCTGCTCGTCTGTTGTTGGTGGGGTAAAACTAGCAGTTTTCCGTGCATTTACTGTGATGGAAACTTTTTATATTTTTTGTAAACGGATTGGGTGGTTTATTGGGTGACATCAGGATTTTCAACTGGCATGTGTTGATCCCAGATCAAGGGAAGAATAATGAGAGTAGCTCAAGCCCAAGGGAAAATAGCACAAAGGCGATAGTGCATAGGAAGATATGTCAACAATTTTGGAAGGTTTGACAAATCAGTAAAAATATGTAATCTTTAGTTACCCAAGTTCAAACTTGATGCTTGTTTGGTGTGATCAACATCTTGTGCCATGAAGGTGTATCTTTACAACTCCAGTTCTCAATTAGGATCATACAACTGTCCCTTTATGAAAGGATTTTATTTCTTATTTGCGGACAAAACGCTATGTGTCCTTATATAAGTTAGATGAGAGTATTTAAAATTTTAAAAGAAATAATCTGGAAACAATCTCTTGTATGAATATTATTACTATTTTTAATAATTGTGAATAATATATAATTTTTAATACATATCTACAAAGTATTCACGTGTTAGTTTTGATATGTTTTTGCATGTCTGTGAACTTTGGCCAATCTGTTTAAAGAAAAAGTGAAATACCATAACACCATAATTTTCATTCGAAGAGGGAAAAATAAAAATGAAAAATCTGCACATAATGTTGTGATAGATTTATAATATACTAACTACAATACAAATGTACACCAAAAAGGACAAACCAAACGAAATCATAATAGTTAAGGAAGACGTCAAGTAGAGTAAATCATGCAAAGAAGAGAAGATGTTTGAAGGTGAGATGCAAATTGGTTGCTGTCTATGAGTACATGTTTTGTTCTAGCTTAATATATTAGTGTGGAAAAAAAAAAAAAAAAAAAAAAAAAAATGCAGAAGAAGAAAAAAGAAGTTAGGTTTTTAGGTGGAGTAGAAAGACTCTGTTTGAGTGTTAACTGGACGTAATAGTCAGACTGATTATAACCATTATCCTTTCAGCGCGCAAAATGATAATACTTCAGAGTATTTAATCATTTACCAATCAGAGATTTTTCTGCGTATTTTTCATCACAACTCTTTCTCTCTGCTGATAATCCTCATTTCATGAGGTGCATGACCGCCAACTATATTATCTACACATTCTCTTGTGGTCTCAACGAAGAGAAAAAACCACATGCTGACAATAGAAGTAGAGCTGTTCATCCGAATACAGGCATGTGTGTTCATGTCGTTTATATGCTAATTCGTCAGCTTTACTCATTGCAGATGAATACTTTCTTTTCAGTAGATAGTATCAATGATTCAGTGATCCAGATTACGGGCAACTAAAGATCATTTACAGGAAAGAGTCACACTGTGTACTACGAGTTTTCATGCAAGTTTCTTATTTACTGAAAAGGATGGTCGTTTAGATTTCAAGGTGAAGTCGAATGCAGGCTTTGAAGCAAAAGAGGAAACCAGGACACCCACCATTGGTCGAAACCTCAAAGATGGTGGATATAAATTGATGAATATGAACAGGTTTGGAAGGGAGCATTGCATCAAAAGGACTAAAGAATGAGTCAAGGAACATTAAAGCGACCCAGAGATCGACACTGCCTGGAGTGGTTCCGCTCACTTCTGATAGTTGAAACAAATAAACGAGGACACATCGAATGCGTGTCTAGAATCAGCTACGTCTGTCGGTGGCCAGGGATTCGGCATCGAGGGCCACGGACTAGACACAAGAGTCCGAACGCGAAGACCACGGCAAAATGGATAATACAGGGTCCTGTTGCTAGCTTCCCGAGTCGTTAGAATTGTCCAACAAATGGCTTCGAGATGGACATCATGGCTGCAGCTGCTGCTGCTCTCCTGACATACTCTACACATATACACGCGAAAGACGGTCGCAGATGGAGTGGAGTGGTGGATCATCTGCCGACGTCTGCCGACGTTCCGGTGCGAGTCCTCACCGACAACCCTGTTATCAATCTTCGTGGAGCCTCCGCACTCTCAACCCGGGAGGTAGTGTCCCCACTGTCGAAGTATTCGTCGTCAGCGGTGTCTGACGCACTCTCATCTGAAGTGTGATCTGCCCCACGCCCATGACTGAACGCCGATCGCCGCCGGGGTTATATCTCAATCGCATCTTGGTTGCCAAATTGGTCCAGCTCTGGCACGACAAAACCCACGATCTCCTTGGATTTCCCAAGCTCGTCGGTCCACTTTGCATTCACAGTTTTGTTCCTCATTCCCTCCCTGAACCTCTTGAATTCCAGAAACTCTAGGTACTCAGCGTCAGTGGTATAGAGCGTTGGATTGATGGTCGGTAAGGTTTCAGGTGACGATTCCTTGCTATTGTCCTTGTCTTGCTTTGACTTATGGTCACCTTTGTCTTGCTTGTCATTCTTTGGAGGTTTCTCCTCACCCTTATCAGCCTTAGGAGGTTTCTCCCCCTTCTCCCCTATCTTATTCTTAGGTATCCCATTCTTGTCCTTCACCTCGAGGGGCTTGAGCGGCTCCTCGATGTCGCCACAAAAGGTAGCCATCCGCGTCTCGAAGTAGCGGGTGGTAGTGAAAGTGGAGTGTATTTGACCTTCAATGCTCCAACGCATCTTGCACCCCTCCATGTGCTTCGGGAAGCGCCACATCATGGTGTCGTCGAACTCGGCGCTGGTGAAGATGACACCACCCTCGCTTGTAAAGGGAAGCTCGTCCAGGGGGTTGCTGGGCATCCTTCGCCCGAACCTCCACTTGGAGTTCCGCTCTGCCATGCGCATGGGGTTCGACCGGTCGAATAGAACACCTTTCATTGATTGCAGTGTCCACACAAAGCTACCCCCTCGCTCATCCTTCAATGGGAGCTGCTCGAACCGCCACGGCTTGTTCTTCATAGTGGACGTCACACCAACGGAGGCCGCCGCGCCAATACCGCCACTCAAACCTCGATTGGCACCGTCACCGGCATTCGATCCGAGCTGTATTCTCTCCATTTTTCCAATCTTCACAATGATGTTAGAAGACGAGTGCGTCATTGTAACTCCAGTTCCCTCATTCGTCATCGGCGTCACGGACAAGGTGATCATGCTCGGAAAATGGCCCATGCACTCATTGTCGAAGCGTGCGTTCTCCACCTTGAACCTCACGTGCTTAATTCCAACCACAACCTGCGTAAATTTATCACAGAAACGCCCATTTCCAGTCAATCCAAAGGCCTAACAGAATTTCCTCGAGGGCTAATCACAGAATCTTCATGAATATAAGCGAGAACGAGAAAGAGAGAGTGTACCTGGAGGCAATTGGGGAGAGACTCAATAGTCGAAGTGAGCTGAATGTTGACCTTAGCGCGTTGGCTGAAGAGCTGCGTGAGCTGCTTGTAGCGCCGGAGCGGTTCTTCCTCCTGCAAGGCATGCTCCACGGGCATCATCAACTGGGGCACTTCCAACTGCATCTCCCAGACGCCGTTTGCCGCCTGTGCAACACACCGTGGCCTGCTCACCTCGGGGCGAGGAGAGTCTCGTCCCCCACGCTGAATGTGAGCCCACAAAGCATACAAGATCCCGTCATTATAGTTCTTCGTGCTCAACTCTTCGACCAGCTGGTACATGAGCGTGTCCATCCTCGCGCGTTCGCTGATGATCCTCCTCCCGTCATGATCGAAGCTCTTCTTCGGCACTGACGTGTCGTGGAAGGAATCTGCCAGCATAGTATTCTCCAACGCGCGTTGCCGGAGAAGGACCTTGAACACCTCGACATGACAACTTGTGGCGGCGACCACTCCCGCACGCCAAAGCAGGAAGAGACTGTAACTAGCGCGGATGCAGTCATGAAGTTCCTCAGGAACTCCCGGCATACCCTTCAGGTCCCAACCACCAGCTCGGAGGATGGGCGCTGCAGCAGGAAGCATATTCTTACTGGAAATGAGCTTGGTTACCCACTCCTTGTTGGGAATGTTGGGCGTCTGCTTCACGAACGGATACGAAGACGAATCCTTCTCTTTCCACCTCGTCACAATAATGTAGCCCATGATAGCAGTACTCGCGGAGGTCTTCGGCCGCAGGAGCTCCCGCACAACATCCTGGTGGCCGTTTTCACAAGCCTTCAGAAACGCGTATGCATTGAATAGGGGCACAAGCATGCCATGGCTGTGGTTGGCGCTCATGATATCCCGAAGGCGGCGCACACAATTGATGAACCCCCCGCAGGACGCAAGCACGAGCGCGTGACCCACTGCTTGGGGATCCACGGAGTTCTCGACGACGAGCGATGCGACCCTGCGAGAAGGGAACAGAATGTCCGCTTCGCCCGAAACCTGCAGGGTGTCTCGCCACGCTGCGGCCACAGTCGGGTGATGGCAGTCAGTCGCGGACAACACCAACACCTGGTCTAAGTTACATGTCTTCGTCCTGATGGCTTCGAGCTCGGCATTCTCCAGCGCTTTCTCCAACGTAGGAACCACGCTTCGCACCTCCTCTGTCGCACCCATCTCGCGCTCTTCGTCCCTTACAACCACCTCCTACTTCTAGCTCGCCTCCAAGTGCACTAGGTTGGCCTCAGCTGCTCCAGGTCTCACTGAGGTTCCTGTTGTTACCCACGACTAGCATTCGTCGTTGTGGATCTAGGGAATAGCGATAGGATGGCACGCTTTGATGCATCCTCCTCCTCCTCCAGACTGCGCATCGTCCCTCCACGACCTTCGCCACCGACCCATTCCCTGCGGCTGCAATCCAGGATTCTTCTCCACACTCGACAGTCTGCTACTCCTTTTGGAACTCTGTAACACCTGATTCTCTCCCTCCCTCGTGCACTCAACCCCGCCACACACGACTCATATGGAATCGATTCCTGCGAACTGTTGTCGCGCGAAATTTGCTCTAATAACCGGGATGTCTGTGACCCAGACCTACGTAGTTGGCGCTTCAGACAGCACAACTTGCAAGCCACATCAACAGGGAGTGCCAATCCTTCATAGAATGAAGTAGGGCTGAATAATTGGCTATCTGGAAAGTGGTCCACAGAGACATAACTAGAAAATAATGAAATACTAAGTGAAAACTAAGAAGTAAAGGTTGCTTTATAATTCATGTTATTGATTATGAGAAGGATCGAATCTTTTAGGAAATTTTTGGAAAGATGCGATGCCAAGCATAGCTCAATTGCACTATCCAGGAAAAGTTATTGTAAATTTAGATTGTTTGCATAATCAGTAATTGAAATCGTAAATTTTTGTTTTGAGATGGTTTTGGTGTGCTTACGGAAAACCAGTACTATTTCAATCTTCAAGCGTGAATTTAAATGACGTGGTTCAATTAGTTTTATTTTTCTTTTCGAGAAGATTATTCAGACGATCAGCAATTTATGTTTGTTTATACAATTGTTGAAGCACACAAACATTGAAAAATAGACCTGCTTTCACAAATATGCATAATTCCTGTTTGTGAAAAACAAACAAACAAAAAAAAAAAAAAAAAAGAGCACGTGGGTTCCTGCAGTTGTGGCATCCAGACCTCCACCCCACCAGCGATGGCTCGCCTGCAGTCACTGGAGCTTGAGCGATGGCCCCTTGGATAGAACTGGGGTCCGTTACGACTCCGCAGCAACATCCACAACTCATTTGCTGAGCTATGAGTGTATCTTTGCTAAAAATAAATCCGCGCTCCGAAGCTCATAAACCAGACAGATAAACGTCAATACTTTTGTCATCAAGCCTTCGTCAATCGGCACTCGTCGATTGGGAGTTTGTTCGCACCACCAGCACAAGGGGTGCGCGCCCGATGCAAATATTGTCACTGGAGCAGTGGACTCGCATGCCGCTGGCTTCTTTTGGTTCCTCCAGCTGCGGCGATGCTTCTGTGCAGCTTTTGGCTTGTGCTCAACGCTGGTGCCACGCGGATTTGATTCAAACGAGGGCTGGATTCGTCTGGATTGGGTTGAGGGACCTCAGATCCTGATTCCTTGGATAATCGTTCGCAGGTCTGGCAATCTCCCATTTCCAGACCTCGTAGATAAACTCCACAGTTACTTCAGCGCGTCGGTAAGCATTTGTTTTACGAACTTCCACAACTACTCTACATTCTCCAAGCCTTTTTTTGAATTTTCGTTCGTCTCGCACAGAAAATTCTAATCTTTTTCCAAGTTTAGCGACAATATTGTGTAATTAGCTAGTTAACCAGAATCTGTAAGTTTCGAAATCAGAGATTTTTCTCAGAATCTGAAGATTTCGTATGTGTGGTCGCGACACACGTTGAGCCCAAATTTGCAGTATGAGTTTAAATGCCTCGGAACTGGTAGGCCAGAGCGGCGTATTTCACCAACTAATTCTCCGGTGCAGCCCTGCGGAAAACTCGTGTAGACCCAGAATTTCCTTTTGTAATAAATTCTCGCTGAAAATATGGTTACGAAAAGCCATGATATGCCTAATCTTGAGGGAGGCTCACCTGAATAGACCGAAAGATTAACTATTCCCAGATGGGGGAATTCACCTTGGGAAATAGGTCGGTAGATGAGCCTCACACAAGGAGGGAAAAAGGAAGTCTAGGCTTCCTTTTTAAGGAAATCCAACTTATCATCAGGTGCTCCGTTTGCATTAAAGGCGTGGCCTGTGGGATTCACGCCAAATTTGCAAGGTTCTTAGAAACCCAAAAAAAGCCAACGCATCCCGAGGATTCCGAAGTGAACAAACCGCATGGAGGTACAGCTCAAAATGTTTTGAATTGACATGGGAGGAAGTATGGTCTCCATCGCACAAATAGCCGAACAAATTCAAAGAGCAGTAAAAGAGATGCGCGAGAACATCAGCCAGGACTTACAGGACAGGTTAGATTTTTTGTTTTTGTTTTTGTTTTTTGAAATGAAAAAACACAGCCACGCAACGACAAGTCCACGACTCCGAGCCTTCCCTCGACATTGAAGACTGGCACAGCGGAGAACCTCACTAATAGCTAAAGAAACAATTTGAGAAAAGGCCCCTCAACTCGTCGTATAGGAAAACTTTGACTGTGCGCGCCAGGTCATAGCGCGCACGCAAGGAACTCACGGGTCGGCAGTCTTGCTGGATTTCGCTTCCGGATGAAAAACCCCCCTGAATCCCCCAATGCTACGCCAAATCAGCTCCGGCTGTCAAGGTTTGGGGGTCCGTGTTCGGTGCCACGCGATCTCGCATCCTCCCAGCTGGAGCCATCGCACCATCTCATTCACCTTCACAAAAATTGGGTTCCTGGCTTCGTGTCGACACAGTGAGTGATATTCACCGCGGAAGTTAATCCGCCGTAAGAAACGCCTCTTCTCGCACCATGTGAACCTCGCTGCACAGCTCCTCGGTCTATTTCAATTATGCTCCACATTCTTATTTTTAATTTTAAGGACGGTTTTTATTATGAGAAATTTAATACAGTTAAATCTGGGTCCCACAGACGGGTTGGCAGATGAATAAGAGTGGATGCTAAGTGCCAACGTGGGGGTTATAACCTCCTGAACAGAAAACTGTTTGGTGGCACCAGGTGACTTGAAAGGCGAGCGAAATTTCTGCCTTTCTTGTGTCCCCACATTTTCCTATGAATCTCATTGTATGATTCCTAACAGCCATGACTCCGAAATAGTGTCCTTCTAGGCTAAGTGGCAGATCCGGTGAGCATTGAGGTTCTCTTTTGAAGAAACCAAGCGGCAGTGGACGCACCATAGTTGCGAGAGGATGGCTGCTCACAAGACATCCAGTGCAGGTGCAAAAGGACTAGTTGTGGGGTGGTAGGCGCCATCCGCTTTGTGTGACCTTGGTGGAACGCCTATTATTAAATTTCTTGAAGAGTGAATTGTGGGATGTTGAAACGCTTTCCAGACTGGTTCAAAGGCCTTCCAGACTCTTTTAGCGGGTTTCACCCTTCCAAGCAGTGTTCAGCTGTTTCTTTTACCTCGTGATTACGGATTAGGCAAATAACTGGGTAGCCCATTTGCATGCACCAGCCTCCTGTGGGTACTCCGCCTGAGTTGACAAGCCATAGAAATGTCTGTTGCATGGCCGTTTTATTTTTATCCCAAAGCTGCTGGATGGAGCTGTTCGTTTCCTCTTATGAGGGAGCTTTGTTTAATTTGTGGCTACATGATTTTGTTGAATGTGTTGAATGTCCCATACTATGTGCACTGAAAGCTGTGACTTAACCAGCTCTTAAGTAAGACACTAGAAGTGTTCTTTCTTTTGGCTTCAGCACATTTTGTTTGCAACAAGTGGTATTCATCATTTTTCATAACCTATCATATTTTTGTAACATGGTATCAGAGCTAGATGAACATTATCATAGATAAAAAATTTTTAGACAAAGTTTGAATGAAAAAATATATGTTTTCATTGAATAAAAATTTGGATGATTTGCTTGTTGCTGAAGTTCCATTGTTGCTACAATTGCTAGAGCTATTGGAGTTACTGGAATTGCCGGAGTTATTGGAGCTGCCAAAGTTGTTGGAGCTACTAGAGATATTAGAGTTGCCATAGTTGTTGGAGCTATTGGAATTGGAATTTGATTCGATTTGAAGCTGATTTTAATTTAATCAAATTTTATTTATTGTTCGTAGTAAAAACAAGTTTATTTTGCACCAATATAGCTTAGTACTACTATTCTCCAAATATTACACTTTGTAAACCACTTATTAATGATTCTCTTATAGTTATTTGTTGCTATCGCATTAATTGTATTAAGCAATGTCATCTTCGATGGATCGTTGCATTCATCGATTAGATGAAAAAAACTATGGTACATAGACGTTTGTTATGAAATATTTGATGGACATCCGCAAGCTCTATATGCATGCATATAGGACATTAGAATGTCCTACAAGTATTGATGGAAAATTAAAATGGGAATAAAGTGAAGCAAAAGCATACGCATTGATTGCACTTAATGTTAAGCCTTTGTAATTGACTCATATATGCAAATGCAATACTGCAAAGAAGATGTAGAATACATTGGCTAAGATCTATAAGCCCTCAAGAGACATTATCAAGATATACTTATTGAAGAAATTGTATAATTTTTGATTTGTGGACAGAGAATTCATTGAAATTTTTCTTGGAGAGATTTTTAATCTTAGGGATTAATATATTGAATTTGGTGGTGAAATGGACAAACAAAGTATGGCATTTCTTATACTTACGACACTACCAAAATCTTGGAATCTACTTGTTTAGTTGATTGCATCGAAAAAAAGAGAAGAAATTATGTGTCAAGGACATGAATCTCAAAGAAAGAGAATCCTCAATACACTCTTCTATCACTGAAGAGAACTAGAAAGTCACTCAAAAGGTGATGTAATATTAACTAGAATGGCTATTGCCAAAAATAAGAAAACTAGAAAGGCTTGAAACAAGACTAAGGACTATAAAGGCATTGACAAGAGTGAAGAAGGCTTCACTCTTACCTCCATATATACTATCTAACTAAGAGCTACGTGGTGATGTCCTATAGGACCTCCAACATGTGTTGACTTTGCTAGCCACATGACTTATCTTGCAAGATAAATTATCTATGTA